AATTTTCAGTAAAATGCTAACTGCCATATTGGCAGAATTATAGGCATTGACTTTTTTTAATGAGAAATATTCCAAAACTTTTACACAGATCACACTTTTTTTGAAGCTGCTATCTCTGTCTACTCCGTTAACCTTGAAGATATTATTTGCTACTATAGTAATCCAAATGCTGCTCTTGAATATCTGCTTATTGTCTTTGTTCTATATGCATTTTTTTAAAATTTATAAACAGAAATATGCTTAATCCCTTACTAAATTTCCAGTATATATATATACACACTTTCACAATACCAAGGGAGGACTTGTAGATCAGTGACAGGTGTTGTATGCACAGCGACAGTCTGTTTGGATTGAGTGTTTTGCGCATCCTGATTCATTTCAGCACATGGGAATAAATAAAGCAATTCATTACAAACAAGCCACATAAACAAAACCAGTCATAACTGTGCTTTTTGGCTGCAGATACCACGGACCTCACATGCTCAGTATTGAGGGGGAGGTTTGTGAGGTTTAGCAACCTTGGGAGAATTTCTATTCTTCACTTTAAAGCGTAAACACGGAGGATACTCTACGGGCTTATGAAAGCATTTCACAGCAGATCTGATGCATACTGGGCACTCTACAATTGAAAAAGGCTCTTTTATCATAGTTGATCCTCGTGCAAAATTCAGCTTCACTGTTTCTGAAACGTTTGGATAAAAGGAGGAGCCCTGCTGAAATTGAACAGCTGTGCAAAACAGAGAAAAGCATCACTGACTTTGTCCAGCCCTGGGTACAACAGGAGGGGATGAAGTGGAGGACACTCCTGTGACATTTACCTGTAAACCATGTGGGACATTTGAGGTAGTGCAGAAAGAGAAAGTTGACCTCCTCCCGTCCATTTACCAAACTGTCCTTGAACAAGACACTGAACCCCAAATGTTCCCAGTTGCACTTTGCACGTTGGCTGTGGTGGTGTGTAGGTGGATTAGTAAATGCATTTAGGGTAAAAATGGCATTTACCACAAATTAAACACATTTTATACTTTCTGAAGACAATCTAAGAGACATCAATACTTGTGTTTTTTTGAGTAGTAAACTAGTTTCAGTTTTGCTAATATTGTAAAGTAATAATAAATCCCTAATCACATCTACTTGAGCTGACTGCACATGTTCCATGTAAAGCCAAGTCTCCATGTATCTGTGCATGGGACTAATTCCCCACAGCTTGAACCATCAGCTGCTGAGAATTAAAACTTGAGGGGGCTGCAGTGCACTTGTCACCATGGTAAACACTTAGAGGCCTTGTGATGGTGAACAGGTGATGAGCTCACTGTGTGAGGTGTTTCAGAGCACAAGGCCGGCACGCTGTGTGCTGTGACATTATTCAGTGGGTTTCCAGGCTTGTTATGCTGCTCGGAAGACTCAAGTTCACGCCACGTTTGGATCTCATTAAGGGTTAGATGTGTTCATCTGTTTGATTCATTACAGTCCATTTAATCTGTTTAACGGAGGAGAAATCATAGTTGTTTGCGTTCAAATTATTTCTTGCACAGGCTAAAGATGTAACCCTATAACATCTTAAACTAATTACACTGGTCAACAGTGAAGCACGCCGAGTAGTGACAGTTCCAGTTGTATTAAAATTCTGTTTAGAAGCTGCACAAATAGCCAGTCGAGTCCAGTTAAAATGTTGATGTTTTCAGTGAATTTTTCCATAAAAACATGCTCAGAGAAATTTTCTCAAGCGTTAAAGTGACGCATCAGGTGGTTTCATGAGTAGCAGCAACCTCTAGTGGTTTTAAAGAGACACCTGCAAGAAACATAAGGTGTAGCTCAGAACTTGCAGAGCAGGACAGGACGTGTTCTGAAAGTAAACCCGGAAAGACACACAAAAAAAAACCTTAGCAGATATTTTAACTACATGTTAAAATGAATGTACATTCGGAATGCAATCTTATTTTTTTTCTTGAAAGTACGCTGATTAAATGGTTCTAAACGTGCTGTATAAATAACTGTGACATGACTTAATTCGACATTTTGTTTAATTTGAAATTCAAGGCCAACTTGCCATTACAACTTTGGCAACAAATTTTCTTTACAACGAAACACAATATAGAAGTTTTACATCAGTGCCTCAAGAAAGAACAATTACCTTTACATAAAAAAACACAAGTTGAGGAAATGAAATTGAGGTTCTTTGAGGTTCTTCTTCTTCATTCTCATTTAAAAGTTCCAAGCTATAACTTGGATTTTTTTTTTTAAACATGCAGTGCAGTGCAGTAAACTGAATAAATAAAAATTTAAAGCTCCCGCAAGAAATATTCTTTTTTTCCCCAAGAACAACCATAGTTTCTCCAAAATTTACAACCAACAGAGAGTTTGTTCTAACTGACAACAAACCCATTTGACTAAAATGTACAAATCAAACTTATTCACTGGATCATGAATAAAACAGCTTCAAAAATGTAGTAAATTCTATGTAGGATTGGGCAATAATAAGAGAAACTGCATTGTTTTTTTTTAACTTGCTTTGGATCTGTTGTCTCCAGTAGTGAGTTTAGTTGTTTTTAATGAAGATGAAATGATGCATTCATGGATACAGTTATTTTCATGACAGGTTCTTTGTATTGTTATTGTAGTTACTAGCTATTACTGCACTAACAAAGAAATGACAAGGTTATAAAATGACTGTATGGTATAATTTAAAAAATGATGGTATATAGCCCAGTCCTACATAGAAATATGGCATTTAAACCTCAGAGCAACGTCTTAAATCATGTCCATGGCAAGAAGTTACAGTGCAGTGCGAGGCCCAGTACCCAGTAAGAGAGGAAGTATCCCAGGATGCTCTGCGTTGTCGGGGAACAGGCTTTAAAGTGTGGCAGCAGTGCAGTGATGGGGTTCTGAGGTGTGTGCTTGCAACCGTTTCTGGAATGGCTCTGTAGCTGTACATTGGGGTTCGACGTTTTCCTTCGATGAAGAAGCGGCTCATTGAGGAGGAGCAGGTGAGCACTTATCCAGAAGGGCACGGGAGACGAGGAGGCCATGAATCTGGTTAGAACCTACAAATGTAGATTCAAAAAAGAGGAATAAGTGTTGGTGTTTCTCTTGAAATGTTAGGTGAATCCTTAAGATGTTAAGGTTTTCTTACCTGCACGTGCATGCACAGTGTTCCAAACACCAGGAGTACAGCAGAATGTACGACATACACAAACACTCTGGGGTTGAAGAATCCTGGCGAGGGTTTGTCAAGTCCTCTGTTTGCACTCGTCTCCCAAAGTCCGAGTCTCATGCACAGTTCTGGGTTAGCATGGAAGTATGCATAAGCAGCCATTATGCCAAGAGTGGCCATAGGCAGAGCCAGGATAAAGTTCGGTATCTGCTTCAGCTCAAAGTAACGGAGGAAGCCCACATCCCAGTACACATCTTGGATATGAGAATACAGCAGCGGGAGGGGTCTCATACACCAGAGGGGCGGCGGACCATTTTCATCTGGAACCCGGTAGCCCTTCCGCTCAGCCAGCGACAGAAGAGCAGGAGAGATCCGCTCCAAGGAGGTGGACGGTGTGCAAAACGTCCTGTACCCGTAGTACTGGAAAGCACAGAAGGGGAGAGCAATAATTGCGGTTCCCAAGAGGGAGGTGAGCAGGAGACAGACGATGACCCAGATGTAGTGGAAGACTTTAGTGTGGCCTTTTGTCGTTGCACGATATACACGAATCTGGGAGATGGCGTGCAGTGATGGAAGATACAGTAGAAACCCAATGTTGACAAGTCCGTTGGATCGTGCCGCTGTGGCGATGCTGAGGGCCAGGCAGGCTCGGAAGGTGAATCCTTTCTCCAGGAGGAACAGACCGCCAAAAGTGAGAGCGGCGAACAGGCTCTCTGAGTATCCGGCAGTCATGAAAACATTGGCGGGCGTGATGCAGTAGAGCAGGCTGGAGAGCAGAGCGAGACGCCTGTCCTGCAGAACTATTCTACTGAGCGCGTGCAGGGCGACCACACTCAGCAGGAAGAGGGCACTGTTCGCCAGAGCCACCGCCACCAGCAGCCGGCCCCGAACGCTCAGCCAGCTGCTCAGGGGCCACAGCAGCGTCTCGGCCAGGCCTCGCAGGACGACGGGGAAGAGGGGGAAAAATGCAAAGTTGTGCTCGTAGAGGTATCCTTTCTCAGCGATGAAGAGGAAATGCTCGGCGTCCCAGTGAGAGAGGCCACCCAGCAACCAGTCCACCACTGAGTCCAAGTACAGGGGCTCCTCTGTCCGAGGGGGCCTGAATGCATCAGCATCGTGGTCAGGGATGGCAGCATTCAAGACAGCCTGGAGAGAAATATTTCCCATGATTACAATCAATCCTGCTCGTTTTCATCTGTATATCTTACAGTTGTGCAGTTATAGAGTTGTGTATTCTCCTGTACACTCTTCATTAGTTAACACCCACAGACGAGGTGACACAAACAGAATTATTTATACCCATAGCAAATTTGATTTATAGGGAATTTTTATTTGACCAATAGGCAACTATCTTCTGGTTCAAAATGACATAAAATGATGACAAAAGACAGCAAGATATTGTGTTAGAGATGTTAAGGTTGAATCTTTACCTGTTTAGATACTGTTTAAAACCTTTTTTTTTTTAAATTCCATGTCCAAAATTAATTATACTGCATAAAATTCAGTCAGAAACGTTTGAGAAAATGCAGCTTCTGCATCGTTCCAAATCGTCCTGGTAGTTCCTACTATATACTAAAGCATCACAATCAGCAAAAAACTGAGAACAGCTGATGCAGTAGATCTCTTGACAGTTACTAGTCGACTGCATGTCGTGGTTAAAACTAAAGAGGTCAGTGAGTTGCAATGAGGGTCTATCAGTGAGAGAAAGAGTTATGCCCACAAGACAATAAAAAGGCTTTAAAATCATATCCCAAGTGTTTTCAAGTGGTCACAGAAGGTCAGATAAGTTAAAAATGGAGGACGTGTCTTTCATTTGATGAAAGAAAGGAGAAGCATTCAACTCTGAGAACAATATCGCCGCAAACATGGAGTTGAGAATGTGATGCTCTGTTTTGATGGGCCAGACAACCCTGTTGAAGTAAACAGCATCATGAGAAAAGAGGATGACATTAAGACTGTATTTTTTAAAAACCCTATGCAATATCTATTTTTCTACACATACTAGAGCATGTGTTATATCTGTATTTGTGTACTTAAGTACAATCTGTGCAATATTAATACTAATACCTCTCTCAGCATTTCTATTCATGAAAGAATCTGAGCAATACCACTGGCATGTGCAATACTAATATTTGTATATTTTGTTTTATTTTTTTCCGACATTTCCTAAATGTTTGCTGCTGTAACACTGCAAAATTCCCCACTGCAGGATTAACAATGGCTCATCTGATCTTATTCTAAAGAAAAACATCAGGCATTCTGCAGAAACACTTAGTCTTGGCCTTCCATCAAGACAGTGAATCTGAAACATACAGCCAATGTGATCAGAAATCGTTTAATGAAAGCAATATGAAGCCAGATTCCCTGTATCGCATCAAGAATCTGTGGAGGAAGCTGAGGATCAAAGTGATGGCAAGGAAGCCTTCAACCTCAATGACCTGGAGTTTGTCACAAAAGGAGAGTGGAACAAAAGAGTGTTAATGATCATAAGAACTATGGAGAGGTTAAGGGTTAAGGGTGTGAATAATGTTGGACATTTTTAGTAAATAAAAGTCTAAAAATGCATAAGATTCATCAGCAGCATCTTTCGTCGCGTTTTAATGTCATCTCCAGCCAGAAGCAACCATTTGGTCCAATAAAAAATCGCTACAAATCAAAATCTATCAGGGGGATGAACAATCTGAGGCTTAACCTGCACAACAGAGAAAATGAAGGACAATGACCTGTGAACTACAGATGCTAACGAGCAAACCGGCAGCCTTCAAACTCACCTGCAGAAACAGAGAAAGTCCTCTGGTGACTGTAGCGAACTCCAGCACTGCTCGGACATCCATGGTCACTGGTGTGCCGGACTAAACGTGAGGAAGCCGGTTGTGACAGACGCGAGCTGTGCCGCTGCTAGCTGACACTCACCGTCGTGCTTCCCGTGCAACATCGCTAGCTAGGAGGGGAAAACACGCTCAGCTGGAGGGTGGTTCTGGAGGTTTCTCGGTTAGAAATGGTTCCAAAAATATAAAATAAAGGGTAAATATTAATTTGATTATATGGCTACCAGCCTTCAAGCAGCGTCTGTTTGTCGCTTTGTCCTCATATCTTCCCCCTGCAGCAGCAGCAGCAGCAGCACCAGACTCGGTTCGAATGGCACTTTTAACTTCCGGTGTTACCGCAAAACATAATTTCAAAATAAAGGCCCGTGAGCGCGCACGACTTGAGCACTGGTTTCTCCTACAAACACTATAAATGTGTTCTATTGTAAAGAAAAATACTAATAGCTAAGCTTTGACTGACTTACAATTTACGACCCTACATCAGTTTTAGTAACACTGTAACGCTGTAAAAGAAAAAAAAGAAAAAATAAATAAACGTTCTCTCCAGTAGGTGGCGCTCCATGCTGTCTCATGGAGCTGGTTTTTCAGGTGCTGCAAGTATGTTGAGCTTGTATATTACTCATATCTCTGTGAATCATAGTATTATATGGGTTTTTGAAGGCTGTGCTATCGTTCTGTGCTTTACTGACATATATTAAACGCATATGAAGACATTTATTGTCATTTGAATCTGATTAAGGTATAGGACTGAATATTAGGATTTAATGTCACTGTTTCCATGTGTTTATGTTTAATTCGTCAGGTTAATCTTCTTAATTAACGACACAATAAGGTCTTGGTCTTATATTTCCATTTGTCAGCTTAATCTCCATAATAAATAATACCACAGAGCCTCTGCTATAATATTTAAATCAATTAGGTTAATTTCAATAATTAACAATACTCCACAGTCTAAGATGTACTATTTAAATCAGTTAGGTTAGTCTCAATAATTGTAAATACTGTGTCCTTATATTGTAATTTGTTAGCTCAGTCTCCATAATTGGCAAACCATAGGGTCACGCTTGGCTATAATATTTAAATCAATTAGGTTAATTTCAATAATTAACAATACTCCACAGTCTAAGATGTACTATTTAAATCAGTTAGGTTAATCTCAAAAATTGAAAATACTGTGGTGCCTTAGCCTTATATTGCAATTTGTTAGCTCAGTCTCCATAATTGTCAAACCATAGGGTCACGCTTGGCCATAATATTTAAATCAGTTAGATTAACCTTCATAATCATTAACACTGTAGGGTCTTAGCCTTAATATTCACTATCGTCCAGTTGGTTTTTTTTGGCATTTGTGAATGGCTTTAATCCTAATATATTTATTTTTACATCATTTATAACACTGGAGGGTTGTAACCCCTATATTTGAACTTGTTAGGTTAATCTATTGCATTTTTGGACTGGAAAGTATTTATTTGTCGTACAAATAATGGTGACTTGACTTGCATTCATGTATTATTTATATAAGGAAAGTCTAGCTTGGTCCTTCAACTTCAAGCTTTGTGTTGCTTCAAATTGAAACAACCAACTGATGGCTAGAGTACTTTGTGTTTAAACATTTATGCAGTAGTTTAAAAACTGAAACAATAATGAAGTTAATGCAAACAGTGAGTCGACTGAGTAGGACCATGTCTCCTCTGACGTTCCTGAGCTATGAGATGAAGATCAAGGCCAACAGTTACCCAAACATTGTGTGGATTCACACATGTCTCTGCCCAAAAAGAATGAAACCATCAAACAGCTTACGAAGATTTAATGTACATTTATTCTTACCACGTGGAACATATAGTATAAAGATTTCATACTGAATAAATGATATTCATTGAGCCAAAAAAGGGAAAGGGAGGAATTTACATGTTGTCTTAGCTACATAGTCTGAAATACAAATATGCAGAATCCATGACTGGAGAAAATTTGTCAAATGTGTACTTCATCTAGTTTATTTTCATTGTACCAGGAGATAACAGGTTTGAGCCGTGTCTGCCATACTACGGAGCTGTGGAGAGACCAGAGGAGTGGGTCTAATCAGTGGGGACTGGAGGTCACGGACCAAACTCAGATGTCAGCCTGCATCCCGCACCAATAACAAGTGTGAGAATAGTGACACAGACAGAGACAGACACAGAGAAAGGAAGTATAATGTACAACATTATATATACACCACAGCAAAGCTGTATTTGAAGTTGAAAACCAGTCCTAAGAGGTGATTTCTTTTCATAAGGGTATTCATACAATCAAGGGATAAGAGGAGGTAAGGGTGTTGTAGGTTCTTGATACTTTGGGGAAGAAAGCCATTTTCTGTTTAACACCAAACTAAAATGACCTCAAAACTCTAGAGGAGCTGCATTGTCAGCTTCTGTGTGAAACGTGTGTTACAGAATGCTTACACTCAAGAGCAGTACGGTACAGAAAATGTCCTACAATCTACTGCACACTGCACAGGCCTCCCTGGTGAAGGTGTCTATTGACAGCACTTTGTCTGTCGGGCTGACTGGTGAGAATCCAACTACAGCAACTAGAACCAGTAGGCCACTTGTCAGTCTGCTTCACCTCTGAATGTCAACCAGTTACAGACTCATTGTGTCCTCGAGGGGAGAGCTAGGGCACACTGTGTCTCCCAAACTCACTGTAAACGAGACAGCAACTTTGGTTACAGTTTTTGTTTTTCAGCTATTTATTTATTCATTTATTTATCTTTATTAAAAAGTACTTTTCCCCCCCAAGTGCAGAACAGTCTCCCAACTGTGGTGCTCTGCTCTGTGTCATCCAGTTGGCATTCATGTTGTAAGTAGTGTCACTTTGTCGGCATCTCTCTGGTTTTGTAATCCACCACAGCTCTGTGATTACCCTCCTCGAGCGAGGTTGGCCTGGGGAGGGCACAGAGAATGGAATCTGAAGGATTTTCATAAATTAAAGACAGTCACTTGAACCTTCCTTGCCCTGTTACACACACAAGCCAGGTTACCAGGGAGGAGGGGATTGGGGATAAAACCCCCAAAAAGTGGAGCCACGGCTCCCTACAGCTGTCATGACTGGCCGATCAAAAAGAGTACATCACAGATAACATGAGAAACCAGCGAGTTCATTAGGGGAGACACTGAAAGGTCGAGGAGTCGGGACTCATGTAGTGTGAACTCTGAGTGGTTCTCCTCCACCTTAGCTAAGGCGTGCAGAGCCCGGGCAGCTCGCCGCATCATGTCCGGGCTTGTGGGCTCGAAGTGCATCCCCTGTAGATGTAGTAGAGAGCTCTGGCTCTGCTGAAGCTGTGTGGCAGCCAGACTGTCCTCCAGGAATCCCAGCAAGTTGCCCACGCTGCCCTTCTGAACAGCGATTGCTCGGGCTGCCATAGTATCACCCTGGGCCAGGTTGGCAAGTAGGACCACGGCCATCTCCCTGCAGACTGCAACCTTCCGGTCTCCAATTAGCCGCACCAGGTTCCCGTATAGCTTCTCCAACCGACTGAATGGCGGAGTGGCCAAGATGAGGTCCACATTGTTGTCTTGGATGCTCAGTTTGCTTAGCGTCTCCAGGACCAGTCTCTGAGGTGACAAAGCACTGTGGGGGCCCAGGGTGGGGAAGGGGTCCTGGGCCTCTGCTGAGGGACAGACGGCCCAGTGGAGAAGACCATCCAACAGAGGCAAGCAGATGCTCTCGGGGTAGATGGAGAGGTCCAGCTGGCCTGAAATGTTTGCCAAAGTGACCAATGTGTTCTCCCTCAGGAGCTCCAAGCAGTCCCACCACCATTCATCCCTTTGGCCCACCCCCTCGTCCGAATCCTCGTCTTTCTCGTAGGTGAGCGGGGCCTGTTTGCGCTCCGGGTGTCTGTGGTGGAGCAGGATGAGGCGTCCCAGTAGCAGCAGCAGCCCTGGATGTTTGGACATCTCGTGGTCATTGCCTGGCACAAAGGAGAGGCTGCGGACAATGTTTGAGATACAAATGCAGCGCCGGGCTAAAGAATCCTGCCAGTTAGCCAGTGCAATGAGCGGCCCCTCGTCTTTACTGTGAGGCTCGTCCTCCAGGATAGTGCCAGTCTGCTTTGCCTTCTGGGCCAAAATACTGCCGGGGAAAGGAATGGGTCTGTTGTTCTCCTGGTGATTCTGAGAGCCTTTCTCAACTGCCTTTGTCTCAGAATCAGTTTTCTTTTCCTCCTCAGCGCCTGGTGAGGCGTCGGTCTTCTCTGAGACTGCTGCTTTCTCTGAGGTGGACGTCTCTTTTGGCCTTTCTTCTTCATCTTGATGCTTCCTTTTATCCTCCTCAGTAGGCAAACAATTTTCCCGTATATCCTCTTCTGGAACTCTTCGCTTCAGTAAAACTTGGGGCACGGGTATTCGTTCTCGTGGTTCCAAGAAGTCTTTTCGTGGTTCAAAGTGGGTCTGGATGTGTTCTGTTGAGTCTCCCCCTCCAGCACTCCAGTGAAGCAACCCACTGTCAAACTCCTGAAGTTTGCCGTGATTATTTGCCTGCGCAGCCACGAATGGGTCTTTCTTTCGTACCACCTTCAGGGGAAACTTGTCAAACTTGCTGGCCTGTTTGGGTCTCTCATTGGCGGATAAGGATTGTGATAAGCCTGTCTGTTCAGAAGAGGAACCTTTGTTCTTCTTCTCCTCCTCCCCCTCATGTCCCGTCTTCTCGTCTCGACCCCGAGAGCACTGCACTTGGTCCTCCTCCTCCTTCACGCGAGCTTTCCCCTCGGTTTCTGGTTCCTCATCTTCTTCGTCATCTTCCTCCTCTTGTTCCATATCCTCCGCCCTTGTTTCCTCCTCCTCCGTGCTGTTCCAGTCACGTTTCAAGGCATCAGGATCAAGTAGTGTCCTCTGGCCAGGGTCCCCAACCTCATACTCCCGCAGAATACCAAAGATTTCAATGAGGCAACGTCTAAAATACTCAACCACCAACTCGAGAAGGCCAGGCAACTAAAGGAAGAACAAAAAAACCCATAAAATATTAGACAAGATCACTGTGAAATCTGCTATAAACAATCATGAACGGATCAATATTGAGTTTTACCGTGTTGAGATCGAAGGTGGAAATACTGCTGTCGTCGTACAGGAGAATATTGATGGTATCTAAGGCCCACGTACTTTCAGCCAATAAGCCCGACTTTAATGACATCATGACTCTCCAGGCCTCTGGGGTTCCTAAAAAAAAAATTAAATAAATAAAAAAATCAAGACAAAAAATTAAATTGGTACAAAGTACTCTCTGAGCAATAACTGGGAGCCGAAGGCAATGCAG